TTTCTTAGCTAATACAAAATTATGTAGATAGAATCCATCAAACAACTATTAAAAGTCACATCTATACAAAAAATGGTCACAATTAACTAACTATCAGCTAATCAAAGCTAACTACCTCCTTGCAAATCTTTGCATTGGTTGTTGGTGTCAAAGGTTGTGACTGCATTTTAAATGCAAAAAGTTAGGTATGAAATTGAAGATAAGCTATTGAATATTAAAAATAAAAGATGTGATCAAATATGTTTTTATAAATGATTACTTTGGCAGCTTTAGATCTTATAGTTTGCACTGAAGTAAATGATAAAGGCTAAATTGAAGATGATGGACATGTTGGAATAAATGGTTGCTTAACCAATGAAAAAGCAGTTGAGCACTTTGTTGTTTGAATAACTATAATCTTAATTTATATGTAAGAATTACCATTCTTATGGAAAAAGCTTGTGTTGCAACTTATGCTCTTACCCTTTTAGTTGGTTTACTTAAAAGCGATATTACAGAAATAAAAAGTAAAAATAAAAATGCACTTATGATGTATATTAATAGAAGACTAGTCAATAGTTTTGTTCAATATTACCTTTGAAGGACTAGACGAGCTTGATAAAACATTTGCAACAGAGTTATGAGATATGATGTTTTGAGAAACAATAGTTACTACTGTTGCAAATTATGTTTGCTCCCTTTGTTTCCTTATTCTTCTTTGATCTGGTGTTTCCCCTGTCACATTAACCTTCTTGCCCTTAACATTATGACATTTTTTATGGCAATTACCACATTTTACTGGCCCATTTGCCTTTGAAATTTTATATGGATTCCTATGCTTATTCGGTGCCTTTTTCCTAACCTTCTTAAGCCTTCCTCATGGTTGAAACACAATTGGTGCTTCAACTAGATTCAAATTGGTTTAAGTCCATTCATCCTTGCTTGGCATTGGATGTATCCTACCTTTGTATGTTTTCTTGGTGTAGCGTTCATCTTCACATTCCTTTTACTTCTCCCTATTCATGAATATGCAAACCACAACATGCTTACATAGAACACCAATAAGGTTCTATCTCTTACATGAACAAGTTCTTGAAGCTAAATCTATAGTACATGATTTGTTGAAGTCTACCTCATATACTTTCCTATCAGCTGGAGTGATCAAATAATTCTTACTTTGTACCATGTTTTTCTTAAGTCTTTCTTGTATAGTAAGAGTGATTAGGCTTCATGCTTTTCCATACCCACCCTCTTAACATATATTATTTTCATTGCCTTTCTCTGAATCCTCTCTAACATTGATATAATTGGCTTCTCTTTTAGCTAATAAAATGTAGGTGTTGAATGATTCACAGATGTTGTTCACTGATACATCAGACTTAATCCTAGGGAAAAAATGTAATCTTGTCCAACATTGAGGAGTATTGTTCATCAACCATCGATAAGACTTACATTTGTCCATCCTTTTAAGCATTTTCATTGCCTTTTCCCATCCCATTATAGTTAAAGCACTCACAGTTGCCCAAAAAGTATCTTTACATGCTTCCCATTTTAAACTCTTTTTGAAATTTTCATACAAATGCTTTATACAATGTTCTACACTTAGCCATAATTCATCAAATGATTATTGTAAACCCTAAACAAAAACAAAACAAAACAAATTATATGAATATAAAGATAAAAAGAATTATCATATTTGACAATTCTACTTATCAAAAGTAAATGCCATAAGATCAAAAGTAAATGACAATTCTACTCATCCATAAGATCTCAGGGTCTAGGACGGATAAATATTGAGTCTTCAAGCTTTCATGTAAATAACAGCGAATGAAGATCAATGCATTCACTTTATCTTTGTTATTTGCTTTCTCGTCTATAATGATTGCATTAGCAAGACCTTGCCTTTAGAGATGCGTCTCCACATCAAGGCATCAAGACAGATAATCGCTTTCACCCACTTCCTTAATGTGGAACATGAATTTTTCAATATTTGCCATAATTCTACACACAGAAAAAAGAACTTATAAATTAATTACGACAACTACAAAGGTTCCCAAAGGCCCATTACTGTTTCAGGGGCTAAAGGAATGCTCTAGGTCCATTGTCAACTTCAGGCCGACTGAACGGTATACAAAATCAAACTCTAATTGGTTGATGAAGAATTCTTTTAGTGATCGTACTGATAACATGTTGTAAAAATAATAATAAAAATAAGAAGAAAAGAAAGATTTTGAAAAAATGCTTTATATATTACCGAAGCAATACTAGGAATGATAAATAATTGTGATACAAATAAGGGTGGAGTGACCTCCTATTTATAGTTGAAGTCTCTTATAGATTAATGGCTATTAGAATCTCCTATTAAGATACATCTCTAAATTATATTATCTTTTTAATAAATCTCACATTATCACCTAGATGATATCCATATGTAAATGAATCTTGAAATATTTAGAATGTGAGTAATACATTTATCATTTATCAAATTTACTTTAATTTTAATTGGTGATATGTCCATATTCCATAACAAAAATGCTTCTTTTTTTTTTATGTAACTCAACAAGCGTTACCCAACAATTATTGATCATAAGATAAGGTTGCAACATTATCCACGTTAGAAAAAACTACTATAAAGGCTAGGAAACGAGTTCAGGTGAAAACAAGTCTTTAGTTTAAGCATCACCAAATCTTCACTAATTTGGAGAAATACCTAACAACTATACGACTAAAACAAAAACCTAAGCACTGTAATACCTTCAAACATATCCACATCATGTCAATGCATTTCTAGAACACCAATTAACCAATTGACAGAGATGGGATCGCACCAACCTTAAGGACTTCTCTAGGACACCACGCGATAGACCATAATTAACATACCCTAAACCCAAAAATTAAGACTTTTTAATTTGTAATTACTCAACATTTGAATTTTGATGAAACGCCAAATTTAACATACTATAAACCAAAAATGAAGACCTTTTAATTTTGTAATTACTCAACACCTAGAATTCGATGAAACTAAAGAAAATACAATTCAAAATAAACCAAATTTCGTTGTTAACATGCTATGGACTTACCTCCACAATTTCTTCCCAATCACATGATCATGAAGATTTATTTCATTTGCATTTTACAAACTAGAAGTGAATTAGCATGCAACTTCTCTTTTCTATTATTTAACAGATTAATTGCCCCAATAATGGTTGTTATCACTTGGTATCAGTACACTCACGATGTGCTTGCATTGATCGACTACAAGGCCCATGCCTTGCTACAACAATGGCAACAAGGGAAAGAACCGTGGTAATGTTAGTAAATTATGAAATTGGATTAGTCTTCTTTATTGCAAGAAAACTTCCGCTTGTCATCTTCGTACAACTATAACTAAATGATTTTTTAATTTTTTTTTCTATATTTTAGATGGATTCTCTCTCTAAAAGCAAGCTAGAAAATAGTAAATTCAATCCTTTTTCTCTCTCTTGGAAGAAGAATTTGAGAATTCGAAGTTCAAATGAAAGAAATAAAGCTTTTAAATATAAAGATATTATTCTCTTTTTAGTGAAGATTAATCACTGTTATTCACGTGGATACAATAGTGAAATACAAGATTTTATTGAAAACAAAAACTTTAAAATGTTATGTAAGAAAATAGCATATCACAAGTGATCTTATGAAATTTATCTTACATTTTATATAAAAAGTAGTCATTTAACATAATTTTTATTAAATTATTTTAAATTCAAATTGTTCTAAATTGCAATTGTGTTTTGTATTTGAATCATTTTAAATTCAAAGTTTATCTTTATTTTTTTTTTAAGATCTCAAATTGGATTTGGAATCCAGTTTAGATTTTATTAATAAGTTTGGAATTCCTTCTTTAACCACTTTTTTTTTTTTTAAATTAGAGTTGAGACCTATATCAAGCGTCGTTGAATCAGAAAACTTGTAAGTTCCATGTCTTCACGTTAGTTAAGTATTCCCGAAGATCATATTGAGAATCTTTTGTATAGGAAACAAGAAAAGATAATGACGCAAGACTGACCTACTATCAATATGTAGTTACCTTATTTTATTCAACAATAATCCATTCTCCGCTACAGTTTTCAAAGTTTTCTATGTTGCTGCTGTATATAAAAAAAGACATAGAACACTTAAAAACAAATAAACTTATTTTGTACCACACAATTTAATTTGTAAAATATTAGAAAGAGATTTTGAATATCAATTTTCATCAGACAAGTAGTCTTTAATGTAGTATTAAGTATTTAAAACTAAAATAATTGCTATTAATCATGTTATTGTAACATTACATCAATCATGAATTTGATAAGACAATTAACAAGCTTAAAATAATTTAATCCATTAATTAAGATATAACCTAATGAGATGCTTTGCTCCATGGTTATTAATGGAAACTTATACTAATAAAAGTTTGCGCCCCTCATTCACTATTGCTCCTTAATCACTGTGAAGCGTTGGAACTATTAATTTTTTTGACATAATATTTAAAACATATTTTAAATTCTTTTCAAAAAATTTAAATTTAAATTTTTATTATATTTAATCAAATTTTTATATTTATGTTTTGAATCAAATAAATTTTAATAACTAATAGTAAATCAATTATTACTAATCTAAATATCACTTATCATTTTATATCACGTGATTTAATTGTTATATTTTGCACTTGCCACATCAATACTATATCAGCATTACATGAATATAAATTAATAATAATTAATCAGTTAATCAAAAATATCTATTAAATACAAAATATAAAAAATTAATTCAATATAATAAAAAATAAAAAATTAATTTTTTTAAAAATAATTTAAGTTATTTTTTTAAGAATTATGCTTATTATTTTTTATCTCATATAGGCACTGTAATAATTATTTCACTTTTACTTTTTCATGAAAACCTTAGCAAAAGATTTGGACATCACATTAGCATAATCTGAGAAAGAAACAAAAAAACAAAAAGGGTGAACACGTAACAGCCCTAAAAAAACAAAGCCAGAACCTAAAACAACAATTAGGAAGATGTAAGTGTACGTCATGAATTCTACAGTAGAAAATTCCATGATTAAATATTTCATTGTACAAAAATCTACAAAATTAAGTCATCTTCCACTTCATTGTCCAACTTCGCCTGACCTTAAAACAAGAAAATCCTCAGGAAAATATTAAATATACCCATTTACCAAACTCAATACAAATAGAAAAATCAATCAAGAAACCCAGTTTTACGCCAAATAGCATTTCTGACCTGCCTAAGATCTCTGCCTTTCAAAGTCCTCCCTACTCCTTCAAGCACCGAAAAAGTTGTCTTCGGCGACACCCCAGAACCTCTCGCCACGATTTCATGAGGCGGCAGCATCTCCTGCTCTCCATCCTCATCGTAGTAATCAACTTCCAGAAACTTCTTGTTCCTTTCCCTCGCCATCGTCATCGACAGAAGCGGCACGTTCACCGGTGCCGACTGTTGCTGCTGGAACTTCCTAGAATACTCTCTTTCCTGCGGCGTTGGTCGAGGAATCGTTGGTCCCACCTTGACGGTTGGTGAAGAAGAAGGAACCGTCGGTTTCCGATAGAGGATTTGGTAGTGATTCGTTTCCGGCAATGCGGCGAGGATTCCGGAACTGTGCGAAAAGGACGGGCGGCGATTATGGGAATTGGCTGTGGTAGCGGAAGGCGGCTGGTGGTGGTTTTGTTCTGTAAAATCGGTGGTGGTCCAGAAAATATCGTCTTCGGTGAGTTCGTCTCCGTCGTTGGCGGCGGCGGAGGATGCGGAGGTAACACCGAGGAAGCGGTCCATCGTAGGACCAGCGACCATGTGAGAAATATGACGAAGAGTGGAGGAATGAGGAGTAAAAAGGAGAGTAGTGTTTTGGACCTGGGCTTTGGGTTGGGGTTAAGTGGGAGTGGGGCTCATTGGGTCGTTTTCAAATGGTGACGAGGCCGATGCTATGTTTTTTCTCGAGACCCACGTGGCTAAATAAGTCCGATCAAGGCCTTATCTGGGAACCTCGGTGAAAAGGCGTCTTCGTCTACGATTGGATCCTTGGTGGTCCACTTCTTCTCACCCATCAGTTTGCGCCGCGTCAGCCTAATTCATTGTCCTTTTATTGTGGATAACTACTAGTTAAAAAAATGGAAAAAGATTGAACATCCTATCCTATCCTTTTAACACTAAAAAAACAACTTCGAAGTGCAACTATTTTCTGATTGGCTTCAGCGATGTGGGCATCTTTCATTTGTAAGTTCTAAAGCCACCTCGGCTTTGGATTCGATCCTAAGCTAACATATTAGGACACGTGAATGTAAAGCCAAATATTTTTTATATTATTTTTGAATTTTGCTAACGAGTATATTTGGATATTATTTAAAGTTATTTTACCAAATAATAATATTTTCTTTAAATGTATTAAAATTTATCATATTAATTATCAACTATTACATATAATATAAAAATATTGTTACAAATAGTAATGTAGAATACGAAATGTTCTCAATAATGGGGTGGGAGGCTAAGATTCACTTCCACTTAAAATTTGTATGATGTTGGTTTAGTTTCATAAACAAAGTAGCCCAAACATAATACTAGTTTATTTTTCAATATAAGCCCTATGAAACTCTGTACCAGAGGGAAGTTTGTTTTTCCTAATACACATACGTCGAAAAATTAAAAGATAGAAGAGGATTTTACTTTTCTAGTCTTATAAACGGTGAAAAGAGATATTAGAATCTAAATGAATCAAATGTTTGTTCAACACATTGTAAATGAGTTTAAATTAAATTCATTTACTAAGTTAAATGGATAAATTTAAAATAAAATTTTAAAATTTTATTTTTAATAAATAAATTTAACAAGGGAAATGATATCACCCCACTATAATGTTACATCAAAAATTATATCATCTATAAAAAGCACAGGGTATAAACCTACTACCATTTAATAATTTTATAATTTTAGGCGACATCATTATATGAAAAATTTGTGTGATTGAATCAATTTAATGTGAAAATTAAAATATTTATAAAATAAAATAAAATATTTTTACTTTTTAAGTTTTAATTAAAATTATATGTATGTTTATTAGTTTTTAAAATAAATATTTATTATAAATATTTAAATAATATTAATATTAAATATAAAAAATTTAAAATATTTTTTTTTCTTAAGTGACTGACGACATTCTTGCATTGGCGACCACCCATGAAAAGCACGAAATCGATGATCTCAGAAAGCATTGAAACTTCGATTGGGCTCCCCAGGGGAGCTCTGATGCTTCTCTTGGGAGCCCTGATCGGGCTCTCCAGTGCTTCCTTAGGGTAGCTCGATCAAAGCTCTCTCTTTTTTTAAAAATAAAATTAATAAAAACTTAATAAAATTATATAATAATAATTTTTTAAATTAATAAAAAAAATTAATATTATTACATTATTAAATTAATAAAAATTATAATAATTAATGAATAAAATATTTATTTAAAAAATTAATTCATTTTTTAATAATTTCAATCAAAGTTTTAAAGGTGAGAGTATTTTGTTAAAAAAAAAATAATACGCATGCTTTGCACGTGTCACCCAATGGACATGAAGTCCGAACCTCTGGTCTCGAGTCTGGAGCCAGGCTCTTAGATAGCGTGCTCAGTGTCGACGGAGACCTCAACTGGCACTTTCTTTTCAAGCGTCTCAGTCCATCAACCACCGCGCAACCGAAAAAAAGGGCAAGACTCTTCGCTTCCAAGAAGAAGAAGAAAATAATAATAATAATAAAAAAACCTCTGCATTTACTGGACTCCACAATTCCGAAATAAACCATGATTACTGCTGTAATTACAACTTTGCCACTAACGCCCTTTCTATTGTCCTTTGATTTTCGCCTTTTCGTTTATTATTAATAATCTTTTTGGTTTCCTTTGGTTGTGTGAAAAATGGAGCAGCAAAGAAGCTTATCGGGGTCGTCGCAGAGCCCTAGATCTCCTTCGTCTCAACCGTATCTTTCAGTTTCCGTGACGGATCCCGTTAAGTTAGGCAATGGCGTCCAAGCTTATATATCCTATCGCGTCATCACCAAGGTAACCGTTGCTAATAATTAAACTGATCTCTTCTTTCATTCTTGAATTCTCTTCAATACTAATAAAAATATTGGATTTGGGGGGGTGGGAATTTCACTGTTTGGACAGACCAATTTCCCAGAATACCAAGGGCCGGAAAAGATTGTTATTAGGCGTTACAATGACTTTGTTTGGTTACGTGATCGCCTTTTCGAGAAGTACAAAGGCATTTTTATTCCTCCTCTTCCCGAAAAGAGTGCTGTAGGTAAACAAATTGAGCATTCTTTGCCTTTATTTTGATTTGTTTCAAAGCAGTAAGTCTACGATCAATTCCTCTGATTGCAATATTTCATGTTCTTTTGAGTAATTGTGAATATGTTTTTCTGGTTAAATGTGTAAGCTTGTGTCTGAAGTAATCTAATTTTGTGGATGCCGCTGTTGCAGAGAAATTTCGATTTAGTGCTGAATTTATTGAAATGAGACGCCAAGCATTGGATGTATTTGTTAATCGGATTGCTTCACATAATGATCTTCAACAGAGTGAAGATCTTAGAACTTTTCTGCAGGCAGATGAAGAGGTGATGCTTTTAGGGTTTGTTGCTTTGAATGGTTCAGTTTTGTTTTTTCTATGCGTGTTCTAATGATAATCACCAGATCATCCTTCAGGATATTTCGAAAGTTGAGTGTTGTAGATAATTGTGACTTTGCATGTAAGGTGCATTATCTCATTTTTAACCATTGAGATGGAGACTACATTTCTTAAAAATTGCTTTTAAAGGGAATATTTTATAGTTATTATATGAAATTGTCTTCATGAATTATACAAATTTAACTTCTTTAATATGTTCACTTTTGTCTTCATTATTGTTCGGCCCTGTGATTCATTTAGACTGCACCATTTACATTTCTAAATGAACTGTTATCCAAGAGACCAGCACTATTGCTCCATCTAGGGCCATGTTTGGCATTGGAGATTCTTTTGGTAATATATGTTGATAGGGAAGGATTATGATTTTAGTTACCAAAGCAGGCCAGATCTGTTCAGGGGTAACTTGCCATCTTGACTAATGTAAAATCTTGTTCTCTGGAAAATTGGTGACAAGTTTCTCTATTTTCTGTTCCTGTTTTGTGTATTTGATGCTTTATTTTTTATTTTTTGCATTTTTGAGAGCACAAATTTGAATGTAAACTTTGTGGCTTTTCAGACAATGGAGAGACTGAGATCTCAGGAGACTGGTATTTTTAAGAAGAAGCCAGCTGATTTCATGCAAATTCTTAAGGTAAGTAAGTTCTTCATGACAATATAATGAGTTAGGATGTCAGTAGAATGACTATAGAGTAGACAGTTGCAAATAGAATGTCTAATGACTAATGAGATGTCAGAAAACTTTAGCTTGAACATTTCTTTTCTAGTAGATATTTTGATTGGTCAATAACCATAGACAAAAGTTCTTGCCATAATAATGAATTTCTTCTACAAAATTTAATCTTGTTATCTGAGCCACGTTTCAAGGGAGAAGACCTCTAACATAACTTATAAATCTGCAATAGATAACTTGTTGCATCCTATCTGAAGCTCTCAGGGAACTGACTGCTTGCTTTCTATAATACCTTGGTTTCCCTTTTTTACTGCTTTAACTTGTAATAATTGGCTGATTAATGTTTTATTCTATAACATGTTCATGTTATTGAAATTTGTATGTTATTTGATCTTGCATTAACTTGTCTTGAAATTTAACAGGATGTACAGTCTAAGGTGAGCGATGTTGTTCTTGGAAAGGAAAAACCTGTTGAAGAATCGAATCCTGAATATGAGAAGCTTAAACACTATGTTTTTGAGCTTGAGAATCATTTAACTGAAGCTCAGAAGCATGCATATCGTCTGGTAAAGAGACACAGAGGTAATGAGGATTTTGAGGCTCTGAACACTTTATGCTTCTTGATTATATCTTTCTCAAGTGTTTATATCCTTTTGGTTTGCATACAATTGAACAAATTGTTTCTGTCTATTCTCAGAGTTGGGGCAATCACTATCTGATTTTGGTAAGGCAGCCAAGCTTCTTGGTGCTTGTGAAGGACAAGCTCTTGGGAAGGCATTTTCTGAACTTGGGGCTAAATCTGAGACACTATCAGTTAAGCTGCAGAAGGAGGTAGGCTGACTCTTAAGTTGAGCCTTGCACTTTGGTAATTTGTCTTGCAGCCTTTCAGGCATTCCTACTTGTTGCCTGATATATGATACCCAACCTTTTTCGATATTAAGTGGCTCACATTGGTAACATTACATTTTGACATTCTTTAAATTGACTATAGGCCCATCAACTCTTGATGAATTTTGAAGAACCTTTGAAGGATTATGTTCGTGCTGTCCAGTCCATAAAGGTGAGTGGGGCTGTGGTCTTGTGTAATATTTGATGACTGACATCTGCCTTAGCAGGCATAGCTTTCCTTGAAGAAAATATTGAAGAACCATGTGTTGCTACCTGCAATACTGAAAATAGTTAACTGGGAAAGTAATGGTATTGTTGAATCATTGATGAAAGCACTTCTTCCAACTTTAGCTCCCTTTTCATCCTATATGCTGGTAATATTGAAGTGGAAAGATTTGTGACAATTGTAGAGCTGATCCTCTTGCATGTGTGTTTATAACAGGCCACAATAGGAGAGAGAGGCAATGCATTCAGGCAACAGTGTGAGCTGGCTGAAACAATGAAGTTGAAGGAGATAAATCTGTATGCTCCTGGTCATGCACATTTTATGCCTTTTTTGTTTTTGCTATCTAGTGTTGCTATTGGCAGTGGCCTCTATGCATGACCCTTTGATATTGTGAACAAGCAGCATACTTTGACTATATTTATAAGTTATATTTGTTAATTGAATTTGTAATCTGAGCAATATCTATTTTTTGCAGTGACAAGCTCATGCTAACACGCTCTGATAGGGTGGGAGAGGCGGAGCATGAGTATAGGGAGGCAAGCCGCTTCATCCAAGCTTCCACTAATATATGCCTATTGAGGCCATTAGTTATTGTGTCTGCTAACATAGGTTTTGTGATTGCAGTTGAAGGCAGAGAGTGAGGAGGCAACAAGAAGATTTGAGACAATTGTGCGACTGATGAATGAAGAGATTGTACGTTTCCAGGAACAGAAAACACAAGACATGGGGATTGCTTTTCATGAATTTGCAAAGGGACAGGCTCGACTGGCAAACAGCATTGCAGATGCCTGGCGAAGTCTCCTTCCTAAGCTTGAAGCTTGCTCCTCTACTTAATGAAGGAAGGACTAGTAATCATCATCAAACTTGTTGCTTACCTCAATTGGGCGGTTCTTAGATTTAAGGAATGGCAGGGTGGCTCGCGCCCACTGTAAAATCTTGACTATCAGGAGTTAGCTCTACCATTCTGTTGTACCAGTTATGGTTCTTCTCAAATGTTTTGACTAGGTTTTGCTTGTACGAATTTTAAACTGGGTGAAAGGATGAGTTTACGATTTCAACTCATTTATGGAGCACAACTGGAAAAAGAGAGAAAGAAAAAACTTACATTGTGTTTTTCGTGCAAATTAGTACTTGTGTTTTTTGCAATGTTAGATTTACGGTGGGTTTCCTGTTCTATTTTGTTAACTGATATGGGATTGGATATCTTAACTGTATGAGATTGTGCTTGCAAAGATGAGTGGTAGAGGTCTTTTACTATAGGTGAAATTAGGAAAAGGGGGAAATGGGCAATTGCATATATTACACTGACATGTCATGCCTGCATGCGATGAGCCACTCTGCGCCTCTTAAAAATCCTATATGGATCTTATTCTTATCCGAAATTCTCTTTCGCACTCTTCTTCCTTGCCAACTTCTCTCATGGCCAGCGCTTCGAGGCAGCCCCTACACGCCACGGGCGCCATTCCGCCGGTGCAACACTCTTTCCGGCAGGTTATTTCCTCGTTACCCCTAGTATTCCTCGAGAACAAAAGGCAACGGCCGTCCTTTTCCAATCTGAGTGGATATTGCGGCCAACGAAACCTGATTGTGAAGCTAATGGGAAAGGCTACCGCAGGAAGGGATGACATTGTGCCTGCTGCTGAAGACGAAGAAGATGGAATCTCTCTTGGTACCATGAAATTACCTTCCAACACTGATCTTCAGAGATTTGAAACCTTGTTGTTTCAGGTAATTTTCAGCTTTACATTCACTACGTTTAGCAGATTCCGATGCTAATTAAGGCAACAAAGCTGAAATAACTCAATAAAGCTGGTTAGAGTGATCTTAACCACAAGGTTGGAGGTTTTTTTTTTTTCCTGGATTAAAAGCTTGTTTTTTCCTCTGGATCTCTTTATGTTCTTTTCAATGATATTTTTTGTTCCTGGATTTTTTTATGTTTTTTCTATAAAAAAAAAAAAGAAAGCTTTGTTTTTTTCCCTGGATTTTGTTATGTTATTTCTAAAAAATGCTTGTACATGTTGATGCTTTACCAGTAATTGGTTCTTTCTAAAAAAGCTTGTCCATGTTAATGCTTTACCAGTAATTGACAAATCAAAAAGTTTCATTCAGGTTTTGCTTTGGTAATGTCCATACTCCATATCCAAGTTTACTTGGCTGTTTTATTTGCCACTAAAGGAAAGTCTTGCTTGCTCACACGTCCCAACAATAAACAAAATTCAGAATTTCATTTTTGTTTTCTATTGATAGATTCACTTTCCAGTTCTTCCTGCCATGGATGTTTCTGTCCGTTTCTTTCAATGTCGTGGAAGTGATACAAAAGAACATGTAGAATCACATTGAAGTTTTTGTCAGACTTTTTCTTTTTGGATAAATAAAGATTTCCTTTAGCCAAAGCAATCTTGCTACAAAGTACACAAGCTACCAAAATCCAGGGCAGTCACAAAGCAAAAGCTGAAAAAATAATACGAATGAAAAGAAACAGGTTGAAAAAACTCCAAGTTAACGCTCTAAGATACGTCCTTGAATCTCCGATTCTTGCAAAGTAGACTGTTCTATCAGAGTATTTGATTTTTGTCTTTATTCTTTCTTTGTTTCTATAACAGTGGGCCAACAGTCTATGCCAAGGAGCTAATGTGCCACTTCCAGTACCTTTAAAGGTTTGTCATTAGAATTCTTGTTAACTTAATGTTTTTGAATTGAATGGTAATTGCACATACGCACATGTTCTTGGAATGTGACAATGCATATATTCACCAATAGACATAGCCCTCGAAACTTCGTATTCTAGATAGACAAGATCAGCCAAGGTGATACAGGCTACTGACATTAGTTAAAGTTCATTTGCCACTGGTATGTTAAGTCTCTTTTTGGATGAATTAACTGGTATGTTAACTCAGTCTAGTCATAATGCTAACAATACTATTCTTCAGGTCTATTTGGGAGGAACATTTAATGTGTGCATCACATATAAAGGATTGAAAATCACACTACTTGTCATTCCCAATTTAGCATGTCAAAGCTAGCTTTAGCTTCTTGATGGACCAGATGTTTGTGCTGACCATTGTATATGAATTGAGGTTTGTGGCTATTATTTCATAAAAAACGAGTTTATGGCTATTATTCTCATAGTCCTTATTTGATTTGGCCTACAACTTTAAGTTTTTCAAATTGATATAAAGATTTCTTGCTAGATATGTGACAAATTGAATTTCTATCTTCATGCCACATTTGTTAAGTGTAAGGCCCTTTGTGAATTTGAAATATATAAGGTGACATCTGCTGTCATATGTGATTTTTTTTTTTTATTTTTTTGCAATAACTGGAAGATTTTGTATGGTGAACCATTATTCCTATTGATCTAACTGTATCATGTTGATGTTTAAACCTTGTTTTTCCCCCAAGTCTTGCCCAGGTTATTAGTTTCATTTCTTTTGCACTAAACATGGTTGGATTACCCTAACCAGTACATGTTATTGTATGACTTCATCCTGACCTTGGGGATTCTTATTGGCTGTCATTTGTTTATTGCTCAGTTTGTTATCTATTAAGATAAACATGCTATGCATAAGACGGACAATGAAGTTACAACTCCTATTGGCCTTAAATGTTTCTTATCTTTTTGTTCATACAGATTGACAAAATACCAGGTGGAGCTAGACTTGGTTTTATTACAATTGGAGATGGAAAGACTGATGTCCTGGTGTACATAGATTGCTTAGTCTTTCCAGCAACAGATGGTTCAGGTCCAATGTTTCGAGCAATAAGAAATGGACCCTTAAAAGATCAGTCTCCCCCTGGTGAGCCAAGGATCATGAGAAGTCTTCTTCAAGCCCTGCAGAAGTCAGTTGAAATTGCTAGAGTTTGAGCAAGACTTTTGTTTGATATGTAGCACTATTTCCCCATATCCCCCACCTGCCACCTTCTTTATCTATCTTTCCTAGATAAAATATCCTATTTCTAACTAAAGATATATAAACTTGATAGTTCTTTTGCACCCTGAGCATTTGACTCATTGGTTGGTACATGATTTCTCAAAGAGTAGGGTTTGAATCCCTCTTCCCCAAATATATATATATATATATATATATATATATATATATATATAAACTTGATAATTCTTCACTATCAAGAGATCTAAGTCCAGTCATGCTTATTTTATAGTCATTTTTTGGAAGATACACATAAAAATTGGAAAAGAGAAGGAATAGTGTGATGCTTTCTTTCTTTTTTGGAAATGCTACACAATAAATTACTGCAACAACGGTTATAAGTGGCATAAACCAATAAGTATGTCTGTGCCGTTTTATATGCTGTTAACAACTAGAGGAAAATTCTTTTCTGTCACCATGATTTACTTAAATACTTCCAAATTGGTTGACAAGAAAGAAACATGTTCTATTCTTTCTCTGTTCTTTGAATAATCTGTAAAGAAATTTAATTATACATTGTCAAGGAGCATAGTATAGATGATATGCCAACTCCTTTGTCTCATTGTGAATGCATTGGATTCTTCATTCAGAATCAATGATGTTGTAGCTCTCCTTGAATAAAATATATGGTGAAAAAAATAAAAATTCTACATCCAGTTACTTCCTATGGGGCAGTGTTTATCCTATAAATTAATGAATGTGAAACTGAAATGCTTCTTGTCTTCTCTTCATTGCTCATGACTTAAGCCAATAGACATCACAGGAAGGTCCCGAAACTTTCAGTTCTGGGTTTCAAAAAAAATGGAGAAACCAGCAGATTTAAAACAAATGCTTTCTGATGGAGAAGATGGTTATGATGCTGTTGTTGTGGGGTCTGGATTCTGTTGCTGCTTGTTGGTTGTCAATGGCAGGAGTTAAGGTATGCCTGGTTGAGAAGTGCAGAAAATGGGAAGCTAAGGATTTTCCAACACAGTTTCACGATCATGTCAGCTGTGAGGATGGAGTCAGAGAGTATAGGGGTCAGCTTTGGCCCAAAGGATGCTTTGTTTCAGGTCAGTCTCCATTTCCACACAGCATAAATTATTTGAGGATATTTTAATATAAAGACGATGCTTCTGTACTTAGCACTGACAATCATCTTCATAGTTATGACATGAGTTTGAAACCTGACTAAAGCCATAATTTGTCTTAACTATAATGTAAACAAAATTATGATTATTATTATTTATGAAATTACAGGTTTATGAACAAAATGATTCACTGGCAACTGTGGCTTGTGGGATTGGTGGAGGTTCACTAGTGAATGCAGGAGTAATGCTGCCAACCCCAGTTCATGCTAGAAGAAATTCAAAGTGGCCAAAGGAATGGGAATGGGAATGGGACTGGGATAGTTGTGAAGCTTCTGCTGCTACAATGTTGAGAATACAAAGTCTTCCTGACCAGTTCCCCATTGCCAAAGTTATGAAAGAAATGGATTACGGAGAGGTAGAAGAAATGGTTCAAGATTCAATGAGGTTAAGCATGAATTTTGATCTTGAAGAGCCCCCATCCGGATTACTGATGGATCAAAATCTGGATATCTGCAAAGCTTGTGGAAATTGTCTTGCTGGGTGTCCATATAATGCCAAGAATTCTACTGACAAAAATTATCTTGTATCAGCAACTCAGGCATATCCTCTTTAACTTTTGATACATTAATTTCAGTTACCAGTCTTATTCCTTTATTTACGTTGGTTGCATTAGTTTTCTTTACTGTGAAATGCTATTCAGTTGCTTCTATGATTTCAAGCTGAAAAATTCACATAGCTTAGCTGGCCAATTTAAACCATTTTTACTTTGTTGCATCTGAAACTTGATTCTGGATTGTTGTTTATGATGATAGTGCGTTTTCTTGTAACAAGTCCATTATTGAGAATACTTTGTTGTTTCATTATTTATAAAAGCCTGTAAAAAGTCAACATCATATCCAAATGTACCCATATTCTCATGCATTTCAGATACAATAACTTCTTGTTATGCCGGCACGATGTATTATTAAAACGGAGTGCAAAGTTCAGTATGTAGTTAAAATTCCATATGAAACATGTGAAGAAGGAGAAATTGGTGGAAAAAGAAGGTGCCTTGTTTACTTAAGTGAGATTGATTATATGGAAGCTGATTTTGTCATCCTGTCAGGTATGAAGCAATAGTGCAATAATTAGGTGTACCTTCAAAATTTTGTTTTCAAAACCTTATGGGAAGCTTAAAGTTTATGTTCCACAGCGGGAGTTTTTGGCACTACTGCAATACTTTTCAAATATCAAATGAGAGGATTAAAACTCTCAGAAGCACTGGGGTCTGGATTCAGCTGTAATGGAAATACTGTTGCTTATCTTGTTGGAAGCGCTGGACCTTTGAATGCTTATGGACTTTTGAATGCTTATGGACTAGATAGAAAGCAACTGTTGAAGAAGCCTTTTCAAGGTCGGCCTGGGCCATCCATCTCTTCATCGCACTCTTCTTCATTGGGTTTCACAATCCAGGTTAAAGATTTTGCTATGCTCAAAAACTTTATTTACTTTTATTCCATATTAGTATTTTAACTCTGTCATGGCACCGGCCCCTTCTACTGTCTTACCGGCTTTCTATGTGGAAACAGAGAGAAAGAAAAAGGTTTTTCTGTTGAAAAGACAAATACTGCAGGAAGGTAGGATCATGGGGTCTGGATTATTTAAAAATTGTCTCACTCATCTACTACAACAATAAAACTGTGCATTCGCCACATTATGATTTATACTCTCTTGATTATCCATGGACTTGGTAGTTTCAAGTAGGGCTGGTTGTATTGGTTTGTGTTGGCAACTCATATTGATTTTGTCAAGAAAAGAGCTGTTACGCGTATTTGTAATTTAGACTCTTCTGAAACTGGCTTTTCTTTCTTCTTCATCTCCTCCTTTCAGTCATTCATTGATTCATTCACTGTCCTTGTTTTTTGGGTGTAGAGTGCTGTACTCCCTACTGCTTATCCTTACATGTTGTTTACAGTGATTGTAACATTTGGATGGCCAACTGGTTACTGGTTCTTTCATGGCATTATAGATAAGAGGAAACATCACATAGGTTCTACGGTCAAGCCACGCAATGGTGCTCTATGCAATAGGACAAGACAAGAGTGATAGGAAAATTATCTTAGAAAAGGAGACAGACAAAATTTGCTTTAATCCACCCCATGACCCTTTACTGCCACGGAAAATTGTGGCCTTTCAAAAGATTACCTAGAAATTAGGGGGAATTCTCTTCATGTCAAAAGTATCAAAGCACATCAGTGCATCTTTTAGGTGGGTGCAATGCGTCGTCAGATTATTCAGATGGTGTTTGTAATCCAACTGGTCAGGTTTTTGATGTGGAGGCTCCTGATCTATTGCATGTGGGCCTCTATGTTTGTGATTCTTCTCTAATTCCATGCTCTGTCGGTGTAAACCCATCCCTTACCATTGCAGCAGCCGCTGAGCAAGTAAGTAAGCACCATTTGAAGGATATTCTTGAGTATAAAAGTAAAAATTGTACAGATTTTGTTTCTAAGGCGCTTGACAGAAATCTATATACAGAAGCACATTATAATTTAAAGAGCAGAGAGACATCATATGTGTTGATCAAAGAAACTATGAGAAGGTATGTGGGGGGTATGCCATGCACAGCTTCTCTCAGAATGACAATAAACTTGCAAAATCAGAATAACTGTGACTGTGATGATTGGAATTGGGTTATGAAAAATTCTCACCCAACTTTAAAAGGGAAAGTTGGTGGTTATGTTGTCTTCAGAGCCATTGAGAAGGATAAGCTGCATGTTATAGATGGGCAAATAGACTGGTGTGAAGTAGATTACAGAACCCCTTACACGCAGTATATGCACTATCGACTTCTCCTAGCTGCTGCTTCTGGTACAAGGTACAAAAAGGCATCAATTTGCATTCCTTTTAATTCTCCTTTTATGTTCTAGAAAATCATACCATTGGTTAGATGCAGTTATATTCTCGAGGGCAAGAAGATAATGAATCCTTATCTTTTTGCGCCACATTCTTGGAGGGAGACAAGAACAGTGCATGTGACATTCAAAAGGCTTGCAGGCAACTTTGCTGGGGATGCAGGGTTGAACTTGAAAGGAGAGCTTAGAATTTCCATGATTGAACTACTGAGAAGCCTCTTGAGCCTAGGAGGAAACAGAAAAGGAATATTTATATATCTTTTCTCATTGAATCTCCTTAGAACCTATATTTTACAAATGCAACGAAAAACCTTATCCAACAAGCACTTCGCAGCAAATAAAAACAGGTAGGCTGGAATCTGAGTTTGTTTTTAAAGATGCTTTCAAGTTACACAGGGATCTCACTTGCAAGAGATGTGATTGAGAGAAAAGATCCTTAAGAGTCAAATTATCAAAAAATAGGGAAAAAGTCATGCTTCTATATATATATATATATATATATATATATATCAGTAAACAACTTGCAGATGTCCATGGCTTTACTGGGCAAGGACAAAACCCTGCCTCTGTTGGGGACATCAAAGGCCAGTTTGCGACATGGGCTCCTCATGCTTGTAGCCCGTTGGGTCCCTCGCTATGAGAGATGCGCTTGCAATGACTCTGAGGTTTTTTCTGGTATATCTGGCAACGTATTCTGGCATCAAAGCATGAGCCCCGCAATGCACCAGTGGCAAAACAAGCGAAGCACAACAAAGCTTCCCATGGCAGTCTTTCCTCACCTCAGGAAAATCTGCGAGTACGGATTCATAGTGGACAGCAAGGGAAATAACTCATATTTGATTCAGCCAGAAAGGATACATCTCTGGTGGACGAAGTCTTCTGGTGCCTCCGGAGACTTCTTTTGCTAGCTAACAAGTACATGAAACTGCACCAACCTGGGTTTTGACATGAAAGGGTTGTTGTGGATGGTTTTGGGCATTCATATCTACTGATTGGTGAAGACTCTTCCAAACAAGTTTTCCCTGGCATGTCATCTCACATAAGGTCATCTGAACAAGGGAAAAATGTTGTGATGATTTCCAAGGAAAAGGCATGCAGCAAAGATGCCTGGAGTGGGCCGCTGATCCTTACCAGGGACATGGAGGAGGATCTCAAAGCAGCTGCTTTTCACCTTTGGTGCTCCTTTTCTTGGTTTTGTTTTTAGTTTTTATGTTGTTATCATCGTCTCTATGATTTTTCAACCACCATCCATTGTTGATGTTTATATCAGGATAATTTACCAATAAACTAAAAATCAGCAAAATTAATGAAAATGCCTAATTCATTATTTTTAAATTCATTGGGAATCCTTTATCATATCATTTTATAATCTCTGTTGGATTGAATATAAATCGCATAACATTTAAAAAAAACACTTGAATTATTAAAAAATATCAAATAAATGTTTTTGTTATATTTAATTAATTTTTATATTTTCATTTTATGTTAAATAAATTAATAACTGTTAATTAAAATATTATTTATTTTTTTATATTATATAATACGTTAATATGTTATAATAAATGATAATGTGTTCTTATGATATTTTGAATCAATCTCTTATAAGTATAAAATATAATTAGTTCATGTCTTTTATAAGAATTTATTTGATTAAAAATAAAAATATAAAACTTTGATTAAATGTAATAAGAATAAAAATTTATTTAAATTTTTTGAAAATAATTTAAAATTTTTTCAAGGAGTATACCAATTTAAATTTATTAAAAATAATTTGTTTTAAAAAAAATAAAAATTAACTAACGGACCCTTACGCTTAGCTTTTTCAATTACCAGCCAAATCCATAATTGATGGATAACGGCAGGGTGTGGGGACACTAAGGGGAAGCAAGAAGTTAGGCAAGTATCACGTAAAAACCCCATCTTAATTCTTAACTCAATGAGAAATTGAAAAAGAAAAATAAAAATGACTACTTTCCATTTCTACTCTCATCTTCTTCCTCTTCCTACGACTTCTCCTACTAGTTTCAAAACCCTGATTCCATTGAATGGAATTCCTAAATTCGTCTCTTCACCTAGACATTCTTCTCCTTCTTCATTACTCTGTTCTTCCTCTAAAAACAAACCTTCCCCTTCCGGTGATAACAATCCCAGGTTCGTTCCTCAATTCCCCTTTCATTTTCGTTTCTTATCAAAATTTTTTTGTTTATCGAAGACAAGTTTCTGGTGATGAAACCCAGAAAATCAGAATTACATTTCTACTGCATGGCAATGGAAAACTCGAAGATTTCTATGCTGAAAGTTGTTGAATTATTGATTTTTTTTTGAAAATCCCGATGTATTTACTACTTGCTTTCTAAATGGGTTTCTCCTTTTGATTGTCTTATAAGATTTTTTGTTTATTTTTTACTTTGAGTTTACTTTTGGTTGCTATCATTGTTAATTTCAAATGAATGAAAAGTTTTTTGTTTGTCAACTTTCAGTGACTTTTGCATCATTGAGGGACCGGAGACTGTTCGGGATTTTGGGCAGATGCAGCTGCAGGAAATTGAAGATAATATAAGGAGTAGGCGCAATAGGATCTTTCTCCTCATGGAAGAGGTAATGTTTCATATTTAAGATGTTTTATTTTATCTATAAAAAAAATTGTTTTGATTTAATCTGGGTCTTGTCGTAAGGGTTGAAAGTGCATACTGTATAGAGAAGGAATCTTTGCATGTGACAACAAGTCAGTATTATAAATCCTTCGCATTGCTCCTTGATGCTGTTTATCTGATGCACATATAGACTTTGGAAGTAGTTTTGGGCCATTACCATCCGTCCACGAAATAGGGTCAAAAAGGGTTACCAAATAGGATAATGCTTTCTTGCATTCGATTGAGTTGTTCTCTTTTCTATTTTCATTTTAAAATATAATTTGTATAGGTAAGGAGATTGCGGATACAACAGCGAATAAAGAATGTGAAAGTTATCAATGAGAACGGTAATGAAGAAATAGATGAGATGCCTGACATTCCATCTTCAATTCCTTTTCTCTCTTATGTGGTGAGTTTAAGGTCCAGATATATTGTCAGTTGGACACTTTATGCTTAGTTAGTAGAGGCACATATGGGGAAGACATGCCTTAAAAAGCAATGTTATCTATCTGGGAAATAGCATGCCTTAAAAAAAAAAAGGACCTATATTGAGATCTGTTAGTGATGCATTTTATGTTTTCATTGTTTACTAATCTTGTTCATCTTTCTGTTGAAGCAGACACCGAAGACCATGAAGCAGCTCTACTTCACAAGCCTAGCATTTATATCTGGAATAATTGTATTTGGAGGTCTTATTGCACCAACAGTAGGTGCTAAGTTCTTTTAATTTTATTTTTAGTTTGTCATAACTACAAATTGTAGTGTTCATGCTTAAATTTGATTTTAAGTTGTCATTTCCTTCTTTTAACTATCATATATAGCATTCATAGACTTGTTTCCAATTGTTTATGGTTAAATTATGCGAGTTTAGTTACTTATATATGAAAAAATGGAGAATGGGCTATGGACCAAAGTAAAGGTGACCATGGCTGGACTGAAGTAATGTATGTTCTCGTTTTCATTTGAACAAGGCCTTTATTCTGTGTTTGTTAATCGGTTAGATTTAGTGCCTATGCTAACTACAACCAACCAATGTCTCATTTGATCCAAATGCCAAGTGCATGTCTTCTTGTATTGCAGTTGATCTAAATATATTTGTCTCTAATCACTGGCTGTTTTTGTTATTGTAATCTACTTTTCATGGCAGCTGGAACTAAAATTAGGTTTAGGAGGCACTTCATATGAAGACTTTATACGCAACATGCATCTGCCGTTGCAGTTGAGGTATTTGTCTGCTTATCCTCATTTATAAATTTTGAAACCTAGAGTAACTACTGCTTTGGTGCAAATGACCATGGAATTGGATAATTAAAGTCTTTGAATTACACTGAAAACTTTTTGGTTTCTTGATTCAGTCAAGTTGATCCCATCGTGGCATCCTTTTCAGGAGGGGTGGTGGGTGTAATTTCAGCCTTGATGCTCATTGAAGCCAACAATGTGGAGCAACAAGAGAAGAAAAGGTGTAAATATTGCCATGGAAATGGTATGTATTAGTCTGTTCCGAGGACATGCTCTTTCCTTTATTTACTTCTGGTAACTCTATTTTATTCCTTCAGACTATTTGAAGTGGTACTTTTTTTCCTAACACACTCTTTCCCTCAACAAAGGAAAAATCATCTGAGTTTCTACTAATTTTCATTTGGTTTTTTATGGTTATCCTAAGAGCAGGTTATTTGGCCTGTGCAAAATGTTCAGCGAGCGGTGTATGCTTGAACATTGATCCTATCTCACTATCCAGTGCTTCTGGTCAGCCTTTGAAAGTGCCTACTACTCAGAGGTGTCCGAACTGCTCTGGTTCAGGAAAGGTAAACTGGATATACACAAACCTAAGATCACCTATGTATGGTTTATTGAGTTTTCTGAATTCAGAAGCTAATTGTCAGTTCTAATTTAGGTGATGTGCCCAACTTGTCTGTGCACCGGGATGATGATGGCTAGCGAACATGACCCACGGATTGATCCATTTGACTAAACAAGGTTGAAGACTTCATTTTCCCCCCTCAAATTTTCAGGATGACAAGCTATTGAGCCCCTTACCTCCACCCCACATTAAGTGAAAAAAAATTTTAAAAAAAGGAAAATAGAAAACTAGAAAAGTAGGGAATGTGGGAGGAATGTTAAATGTATGATTGGTTAATGATTGCAAATGTCATAATGGTTAATACATTCTCGTTCTTGCCTTTTATCTATTCCTGCAGATCAAGTAGTATGTTCCTTTATTATTGTAAGTAGTTGTAACGAGCGAAAATCCAATCAAGGTCAAGTTACTTAAACTGCATCATTTGAATATAAATTTAAACTTGGCAAAAACAATTTAGTTAATAGAACTTGTTTGAGGGTGAACTTTTAAGTCAAGCGATTGCATCCATAAGCTGAAGGCTTGTTGAGTCAAATTCAAGTGGTAGAGAAAAGACGGAATATGTATTTTCCTGTTGACTTTCTAGCACCAAGACAGTTTGGCCGAGTGGTCTAAGGCGCCAGATTTAGGCTCTGGTCCGAAAGGGCGTGGGTTCAAATCCCACAGCTGTCATTTTTTTAATTTTGGCCTTTCTGCTTATACGACGGCGTTTATCTTTTTGTCTTTTAGCCTTTTCTTTTGATGAACTGGCGACGTCGTTTAGCTTTTTGATTTTTCCCCTCTAACACGACATCGTTTAGCTTTTTGTTTTTCCCCTTCGCCCTTTAATTGATCTGGCAGTCATTACAGAGTTCGGGAGAAGCAAGCGAGTTACCAAATGGCTCGACTCATTAGAAACAAAGAAATTTCCACTGATCTCTTGACTCGCTTCCTTAACTCACCAAGTTCCCTGCTGACTCATCCCCGAACTATCTCAAAAAGATCGCTACAAGCCCTAGCTTACGAAGAAATGCAAGCCAATCCAAACAAACCCTACACTCACACTGCTTTGATCCTCCATGGCCTCCTCGGATCCGCCCGCAACTGGCGTTCCTTTTCCGCAGCCTCGCTCCTGTCTCTCCACCTCCCCTTCTTCTGGTAACTAACCCCCCCCCTCCGGTTTGTTTCCTGAGAAAAATTGGAAATAAAGGAAAAGTCTCTAATTTATTTATTTATTTTGTAGAGTGGAGGATGGTGCTGGCGGATTTGAGGAATCATGGGAAGTCAGCGGAGATAGAAGGATTGGATCCACCGCATGATATGGTAAATGCAGCCAAAGATTTGGGAGATTTGGTAAATTCCAAAGGCTGGGATTGGCCTGATGTTGTCATTGGCCACTCTATGGGTGGCAAAGTTGCGTTGCAATTTGCCCAGAGCTGTGCCAATAGAGAGTATGGTGAAAATGTCAAACTTCCCAAACAGGTATCTGCTGCTTCATTGCCCGAATTCTCATAAATCCTTGTTGCTTTGGCTGATTGTCTGTATTTGAGAACTTAATTTTTTGCGAATTTTATTTTGTTTTATCTACTGGTGCAGAACAGCTGTGGGTACTCGATTCTGTCCCTGGAGAAGTAACCTCTGAAAACAGTGATGGTGAAGTAGAAAATGTTTTACAGACCTTGCAAAGTTTACCCTCAACGGTGCCGTCACGGAAGTAAAGCCTTCGCTCCTTGTGTGACATGTTTTTTGTTTATCTTCATGCATTGTTTTCCTTGTTTACTGGCCCTGTTATCTATTGGATAATTCGTCTCAAACATTTATTTATATATATCATTGAGCCTTAAATTGAAATCACTAGAATCTTAAATCTAAAGATGGTTTGGATTCAAGGGAAGATGATTGTTCGGCATTTAGCTATTTGTTTTAAACTATTAATTGCACATTGAAAATTGTTATTTAGAGCCACGGAAGAACTTTAATGCATCTCTCCAGTATTAATGAGTCAGTGGCTAATGCTTCAGTTGTGTGTTGGTCATTCAGCATGAATTGCAATGGTAGATCATTTTATTCTTTGTTCTGTGATATGACAGTGAAGTTGAGAAGCATAATTTGACTAATAATTTTGTCCTTTTGGAGGATATGTAGATCAAAAATATGCTCCTCTTGTGTACTTATATTGTCTGCTTTCAGGTGGCTTGTTAACCATATGATTGAACTTGGGTTCTCTAAGTCATTGTCGGAGTGGATAGGCACCAACCTCAAGAAATCCGGAGAACAAGAGACATGGGCTTTTAATCTTGAAGGTGCTGTCCAGATGTTTCATTCCTACAGGTTATAATATTTAATGATACCACGTTGATAAACTCATTCCACTTTTAATTTGCCCACATCTTTTCTTTGCTGGCTTTTTAGTGAATTATTCAATGTAAAATTTTGTAGGGAGATGTCCTATTGGTCTCTGTTGGAGCACCCTCCAAAGGGACTGGAGATAGCAATTGTCCGTGCAGAGAAAAGTGACCGGTGGGACACAAATGTGATTAATCAGCTTCAAAGGCGTGCTAGTCAGAAAGGAGATGGATCTGCAGGGAAGATTTCAGTTCATGTTCTTCCCAATTCAGGCCATTGGGTTCATGTAGATAATCCCAAGGGCCTTCTTGAGATTGTGGCACCTAAGCTGAAGTGCCTGTTCTGATGTAATTTTAAGAGGCTTTTGGGGCATACAGTGATGGTGTGATACAGGTATAAACCCATGTTGCTTTGGGATCATAAAACACTCTTAATTTAGTCATTAGGCTACTGGGGTGACTTAATTGGGGGAAAACGTTTGAATGATGAAATTTCTTAAGATTGCAATAATCTTGTTGGCAAAAGCAATATCTATTATTGTTGTTTTATTTGGTATTGTTGAAACCAACTGCTATCTCTGCTTATATTGTTCTATTTTGAATATGTTTAATTCATTAGCCTCATCAGATGACTATTATAGTTCTTGGAATGGTTATTAATTCATTTTTAAATCCTATGATGAATGTGCTGCTTCATACTGTCTAAAAGGTTTTCATTGCGTGGCTGTAGACATATAGACAGAGTTATGCTCTGGAGCTATCTTTCTGGTCTCACGGCATTGTCACAATGAAAGATGCATGTATGATGTATTCCAGTTTGTTTCATGTATGGTGGGATCTCGGGCTCCAGTAACATCAAGGGATAAATTGTACTATCGTTCAATTTTCTATCTCTTTTCCTCCCCTTATATTTTAACATCAAGTAGAAATAGCAAGTGCCAAAGAATTATTGGATTTGACCTAGTGGTCGATTGATGCCCTCCCTTAAAGGGATGATTACCTGAGGCCTGGCCCCTGGTTTCTAATTACCAGGGAGCCTCGTGCCCGTATTAACTTAATGCAAAAGAAGAAGAAGAAGAAGGTGGGGAGGCAACTGCCTAGCAAGTAAGGTAACAGTTAATCATTCTGTTTAAACTTGGAATGCCAAAGTGTAGGTTATAATCTCTATGAAAGGCCTTCTGATCAGGGATTCTGCATAACTTTAGAGCAAAATAGACCTAGATCGAAGACAAGTGGGCAAAAAATACTTTTGAGGGGATAATCAGAATGTTGAAGGTAAAAGGTGTAAGCAACTGCTGATAAAATAGACTGCAGCATGGCACAAGCTAATCCGATCATTTCTTCAGGGAAAGTACCAAAACGCCTGCGACTTGGAGATGAATAGTAAAATCGGGGTAACTTGCTTTCCCACCTCCAGATGACTCTTTCCTCTCCGGCCTTGCAAGCTAGCTCAAGGATGCATGAAATTGCAGCCGCGAACGACATTAACATGGCAATTAAAGCAGATTGAGGCTTATTCACAGAGGAAAGCTGGTCGAAAGCTGCTGATAGAAGCTCAACAAGAACATTGACTATGAGAGATCCATTCTGGGATGCTAACCTGAGTTTTGTCAAAACTATAATTAAAATGTTTCAGGAAAGAAAATATTGTTAGCTTCATAATTTAAAAAGTGATATAAAGAATCGTTTTCTGGTATTATTTCTGTCTACCTTTCGGGCTCTATCTCACTCGATCAAGAAACGAAGCATCTAATGTTGAGATATCTCTGTCGGTGCCATGAATATCTCCATCATCCGTGTTGTCCATAAAAGTTTCTTCTAGCCAAGCTTCATGAATATGTTCTACATTGACTACCTGAATCATTATATATAATGAATTTTAATATCAATTTTTAGCTTTATATATTATTATTTTTTGTTTATAATTTTTTAATTAATGTAATACCTATTAAAATTCATTAATTATTTTAAATATGATTTTAAATTTTAATTTTTTTATGAACTAATTTTAATTTAATAAGTTAATTTTTATTAATAATATACATAAAAATTTATTTTAATCAAATATTTAATAAATAATATTTAAAATATTTAAATACAGATTTCGAATAGCAATTCAAAAATTTAATAGACTATTTTTAAAATTCGAGTAACCTATCAAATAAGATTTGGGTTAGAATAGTTTAATGATAACGAGAACCCTACTTATTATTCTTTTATTCAATAAATACATAGGGAAACAAAAACGTTTGTTAACAATCAGCAAAAAGTAAATTTACGAGGACGCATTTACCCTGCACCGGCGTCGAGCCAATGCAAGGTCCTTTTCGTCATTTCAGATCACGGCCACCAAAACCCTAGCTATAAATCGTAGCCGCTGATATCCAAGCTTCCTTTCGAAAGCCAGAGTCGTTGGAGGCTAAAACATTAGGCAAAGCGCTCTCAGAAACCCTAGTTTCTCCAGTTCTCTTTCATTAGCCGGAAGCCATGGTAAGTCTTCTCTTCCCGTCTATTTCGATTCTCGCCGGTGAATAAATCTTGTCCGGCTGCGGAGAAAATGTTTGGGATTGGCGTATGGAAAATAGTTGAAAAGGAATCAATTTTACTGTCTAAATTTTAAAAACAATGTGATTTTATGTTTCTTTATTTTTTTAAAGATTGATTTTATTTACTTTGCACCAGCTCTTATTATGTGTCTATGCTAGATAAACTGAAGTAAAAATTAAACTCAAGTAAAAATAAAATAGGAAATGAGCGATGCTTTGTCTTAGTCTTGAAATGGGCAAGTTTAAATCGGAATCATTTACTAATTGTATTAGGTTTTAACCTCGCATTAGCGTTCGGTGGTGTTTTTTGGAGATGCAAATAGGATAGCCGATGTGATGTATTGATTGATTTGTGGTATTTTGTAGTCAAGGAGAAAGGTTAGGGAGCCCAAGGAGGAGAATACTAATCTTGGCCCTGCTGTACGAGAGGGCGAGCATGTTTTTGGGGTGGCTCACATTTTTGCTTCATTTAATGACACTTTTATCGTAAGTAATAACCTCTTCCATTTACATTGATTTCCTGTTAGTTCACCACCTTTAACATTCTATGTTTGTATTTGCAGCATGTAACTGATTTGTCTGGGAGGGAAACAATGGTTCGCATCACCGGTATGTTTGATGCTTGCCTTTTGAAAACTGGTTTCTTTTGCTATCCTGGGTTTCTGCTGTTATCGTTATCTCTAGATTTGTAAAATTGTCTTAGTTGGTTCTAATATTTTTACTGCCCAACTCCCAAGTTGGATTTATGAAAAGAAACCAACTGATTACCAGTTTAAAATCCAGTTAAAATGTTGTGATAAAAAAATGTTAATTAAACATTGCAACATGCCTTGATCTTCATATCTCAGTGAATATTATTTTTTTAACTCAATCCTCATGTCTTTCAATTGTAGGTGGTATGAAGGTGAAAGCTGATAGGGATGAGTCTTCCCCTTATGCAGCCATGCTTGCTGCACAAGATGTTGCTCAACGTTGCAAGGTCTTATAGTTCACTCTCTGAATTTGTTTCTTGATCACTCATCCTCTGAATTGTGGTGCAATACATGGTTATGCAGTAAACTTATGGCTATTCGTGTTTTTTATCTGTAGGAGTTGGGTATTACTGCCTTGCATATAAAGCTCCGAGCAACTGGAGGAAACAAGACCAAGACACCTGGTCCTGGTGCCCAGTCAGCACTTAGAGCTCTTGCTCGTTCAGGGATGAAAATTGGTCGCATAGGTACGATGCGCTCATCCTTTTATTTCTCATGGTTTTCTTCGGTTAGGTTCATTCACTTCAACTCCTGTAAACTGACATGTAACGTATTCTTCATCTCAGAGGATGTGACTCCCATTCCTACTGACAGTACCCGTAGAAAGGGTGGTAGACGTGGAAGAAGGCTGTGATTCTTTGCTTCCTGCCTCTTTCTCAGCTGCTGCTCATATGCTGGAAGTTTTCCTTCTTTTTTAAAACAATTTCCTGATTAGATTCAAGCTTGTTTTGCCCTGTTCTTTTGTTGCACATTTGTAGTTCTGGAATGGATTTTGATCTGAATTTACAAAGACAAAAGTTGTGGAACTATTCAGTCCAACTTTAAAGTTAAGCTTATAATTATTGTTTTTGGTTTTCCGTGTGGAGGTATAGGAACGCTCCACTTATAATTATTTTTTTATGGTTATGGCACCTTTTGTTTAATAGCAGTAAGAATTTTAATCTTAAATTACCCCGAAAGATAAAAATCTTGCCAGTGCCAATTGATCTTCCCTTGAAGATAAGACCACCAATGCAGGTTAAAAGGAATTCTTAATTAATAAAAAATTATTTATTAAATATCATTTACTGTAATTTTAACAAAAATTAGAACTTATATAAGTTGTTTTATCAAATAACATATTTATAAGAAAAAGCTTATAAAAATAACTAAACAGATTTAATTTAATTTTAAAAGTTATTATTTTTTATAAGAGTTTCATAATAGCTTTTAAGCAATAAAAAAAAAAAAAACAAACCAAATAGGCTCATAGTGTTATCAATTCACCATGGCAAAGAACAAAAAGTTCAGTGAGATTTGAATATATCTCCTTTTGAATTATAAAATTTTCTTTTATGAAAAAAAAGAAAGAAAAAAATTATACTTGTTCATGTTGTTAGAAAATGAGAAACGACGTAGAGGGTATGAAGGAATGTGAGTAAATTCTCTAATAACAAAATCAAAGGTATAAAGAGTATATATACATGTGTTTCAACTAACCTAGACAAAAGGTAGAAAAGGAGCTTAATTAATTACAACTTTAACTAAAAGCTAACATTTAAAAACTTGAATAGCAATTTTTTCAACAATCTTTGCATTAAGCCTATATTTAACTGATATTGTGTATTTCTCTAATTAAATGAAACTGTGCATTTTATTTCTTCTTCTTTGTCCAACTTTCTGATTTCTTCATCTATTCTTCAATCTAGACTCTTTGTTTCCCTTTATTTCCTGAGCTTCTTGGACTTATTATCGATACACTATCTGACACTTCTCCTCAAAATGAAGTGTGAATGTTATGAACTCTCATCTTGCATAATAACTTCTAGAATTGTTTTGGTTGTAAACCTTTTGTGAACAAGTTAGCAAATTGAAGCTATGTTAAAACATGCTCAACTTTGATTTCCCTAGATAAAATTTTCTCTCAAATGAAGTGACAATTTATTTCTATGTGTTTTGTCCTCTCATGAAACACAAGGTTTTTGCTAGTATAGATTATTGATTGGTTGTCACAGTAGAGTTTCATTAGAATTTTATGGTTCATTTCAAAGTCTGCCAACAAGTATTTTAACCACATCATCTCATAACATGTTGATGACATGGATCTACTCTCTGCCTCAGATGAACTTCGAGCTACAACCTGTTGTTCTTTCGACTTTCAGCGTATCATTGAATCTCCAATTAATATACAATAGCTTGTTATAGACTTTCTGGTGTTTAGGCATCCTGCCCAATCACTGTTTAAATATGTGATATTTAGATTGGACCTTGATTTCATTAGAATTCCTTGACTTGGTGCTTTTTTTAAGTACTTCAGCATTCTGTGGGCTACATTGAAATGCTTTTCTGTTGGTCTGTCCATGAACTAAAAAAGGACCTGTACAGCATATGATATATCCGATCTTGTAAAAGTCAAATATAAAAATTTTCTAACTAACTACCTATACCTTGTTGGATTGTTTAATTCCTTATCTTTATCTGTTCTTGACAACTTGTGATTATAATTAACAACGGTGGTTATTGGTTTGGCTCCAAGCATTCCATATTCTTGAAGTAGATCCAATGCATATTTTCTTTGACATATATAAATGCCTTATGGTGACCAAGCAACCTAAAGTCCTAAGAAGTACTTTACTACTCCTAAGTCTTTTAGTTTGAACTATGAACTTAGGTATTCTCTCACATCATTTGCTACTTTGGTTTATGTGTTACCAACTAAAATGTCATCCACATAGGTCAATAATGTAGTGAAAACTCCATTTGTTGAGCTCATGGTGAACAATGAGTAATCCAACAATGATTGTTTGAATCCACAATGTAAAATGGATGAAGTTAGCTTAACATTCCGTTGCTTGGAAGTTTGTTTGAGTCCATATAAGGACTTATGGAGTTTGCATACTAATATTGAACTTCCATGACACTCTACCTTAATTTCTTACCATATACACATTTTCATTTAAATCACCATGAAGAAATGCATTATTCATATCTAAATAAGACAATGTCCAATTGTTTGCAACAGCCAAAGCTAGGAATAGGCTGACAGTTGATTGTTTTACTACTAGACTAAAAGTTTCTTAATAGTCAAAACCTTTAACTTGATTGTATCCGTTGGCAACTAGTCTTGCTTTGAACCTTTATATCTTACCATCAGCATTTAGTTTTACTTTATATACCTATTTGCATCCAATTACATGAGAATCTGAAGGCAGAGGTACAATACTCCAAGTTTCATTGTCCTCCAAGGCTCTTAATATGAGATTCATGGCATTTCTCTAATGAGAATGCTTAATTGCTTGCTAGTATGAACTTGGTTCATTTATGTTAGGGATATTGTGAATGCCTTATGTGCAAGGGATAGATTTTGATATAATAGGTATTTGGATATAGGGTGTGAAGTTTCTGTGTTTGTATGGGATGGTATACCTATTTCATAATCATCTAAGTATTTTGAAGTGTGTCTAGTTCTCATGCTTTTCCTAAGTAGCTATGTTTGATTAAGATTAAAGCTGATTTCTGTTTCATTAGTATTGTGACTAGTATGCAGACTATCTAATATTAACAAGTCATTTGAATTTTCATTTAAATATGATGAATTTGGCTAGTTTGAAACTAGTATAGGCTCAACAGGTGATAATTCAGCTAATGTATGCTTTAAAAGTGAATGATTAGTGAAATTAGGCTCAAAAAGAGTATGAGAATTGCCATGCATCTTAGGTGTTTGATAAAATGCAGATTGATGTCTGTCATGCTGCATTAATAGAAAAGGAAAAGAATCTTCATGAAAAATAATATTTTTAGATATTATGACTCTTTGTGCATCAATATTATATACCTTATATCCTTTGGTGTTATTTAGATAACTAATGAAAATGCACTTACTAGCCCTTTTATCGAATTTCTTTTTATGTTTGGTTAGAGTGGAAACAAAGCATAAGCTCCCGAATGCTTTGAAATGGTCATAGGAGGTGTTTTTTTATGTAACAATTCATATGGTGATCTATTTTGAAATGGTCATGCATCTTAGTTTGTTTTCTTTCTACAACTCCATTTTGTTGTGGGGTATCTACCTAAGATAGCTGATGTATTATACTAGTTTTAACATAAAATTCAATCATTTCAAATTCCTTCCCATTATCTGTTCTAAGACATTTAATTTTAGCATCAAGCTATTTTTGAACAATACTGTTAAAAGAGGGTATAATTGATGAAATCTCTAACTTACTTTTCATTAAAAATATCTAGGTAATTTGGAAAAATCATCAACTATAGTAAAAAAAAATCTATGACTAGATAAGGTATGGTTTTCATATAGACCTTAAATATCCATATGTACCAACTCAAAAACAGTTTTAGAACTTTAAACATGCATGAGGAATGGTAGTTTCTTTTGTTTTGCAAGTGGGCATACGTCACACAATAACTCATTTGAACAATTAATTTCAGGAAATACTTGATGTATTACATTAATTCTCTCCAAAAGAGCATGATTAAGTCTAAAATGCCAAAGATCAATGTCTTTATGTCTTTACTTAAAGGAATTGATACAAAACTAAAAAGAGTGTTGACAAAATTTTCAAAAGTAAGTTGTGACAAGTCTTGACCATCTTGGCTATCTTGCATTAGATACAAGCTTGCAGACACCTTAACAACCTCAATCACTGTTTACGTGGGAATATCCTGAATAACACAATATGTGTTAGTGAAGAGAACATAGGTTTTCTTTGATTTAGTCAACTTAGTTATTGATACAAAGTTGAATTTAAAATCATGGACACATAAGACATTTTCAAGTATCAAGCAAGGGGTCAACTTCACTGTTCCTATATGAGAGACAGTTGCTTCACCATTGTTTAGTAGTTTTACAAAACAATTTTTAATAGGTGTGGCTGAAATGATGTTATTTAGTGTACTAGATATAAAGTCAATTGCACCAAAGTTCACAACCCAACTATTTTGTTTTATCATGAGATTACTAATATGTTTAAATCTAGACGACAAGTTGTTTGTAGTATCAAAACAAGAATGGTTAGATATAATACTTGCAAATATTGAGTTCACAAGGGAATGTTTTTTCTATTGGTTATTAGGTGAATTGTTCTTACTATCACTGTAGTTTGTGCCATTCTCATTGAAAAGCTCCATCAATATGCTAACTAGTTGCTTGATAATGGACATCTGTGACATATTACTAGTCTTCACCTGATCCTTATCATAATTTGACTGTATTTCATTAGCTTTCACTTTAATTGTAACAGAGACATTGTTTACCAATGCTTTTCCTTTCTTATAGCTTGATTCCCTTTTGGTGAATTTAAAATTTTCAAGAAAACTAATTAATCTATAACAATTGTCTTTTGTATGACCTCTTTTTCCACAATGATTGCACATAAGGTCCTTTTTCATTTTTTTCCTTGCATTAGTTGTAGTTAACATGGCAAAAGATTCAAGGAAAGGTTGTGATTGAAACAGAAGATTTCTGTGTGTCTCTTCCTTGAGAACTAGGTTGCATACCTTATCAAGTAGGGCTGAGCATCTGGGTGGTTGAAACCTCCCAACTGATGGTTTCTAGCTGTTTCAGTTGAAAAAGATTTGATCAAATGGCTCCGGTTGAAGAGTCGATTGATCGTGGTGGTTTAGGAAGTTAATCAATTCGATTGTCAGTGGAGAATCTTCCTTTCCAAATTGATTAAAAAATTGACCTCTATAATGTGAAAGGCTAAGCTTTAACTTTTTTTTAACATCCTCTTTCTGATCACCCTTTCACTTTTTGCTTTGAGAATTACTCACAACGTTCACAGGGGTTTCAGTTGAGCTTTTTCCATGAAATCCATTACAAGGACATGAAACTACAAGAGCATACCAATAATTCTTAA